GGGGTTTTGTTATGATGTGGGAATTAATTTCATTTCTCCTACTATGAATAGTCAATTATGCTATGTATTAGGTAGTTTCTTCTTTCCTTGGTATATTAGTTTGTTGTTGCTACTGTAACAGTCACCATACACTTAAATTTAGTGTCTTAAAAACAGAAAAAAAATGTATTATTTTAGAGTTGCAATGGTCAGAAGTTGAAATGATTTATGAGGCTGAATTCAGGCTGTCTGCAAGGTGTCTGTTCCTTCCAGAGGCTCTGGGAAAGAATGTGCTCCATGACTTTTCCAACTAATAGAAGCTGCCAGCATTCCTTGCATCATGGCCTGCTTCCGTCTTCAAAGCCAGCAATTGCACCCCTCCCCTCTGCGCTTTTTTTCATCACATCTCCTTCTCTGACTCTGCTGCTTCCCACTTTCACTTAAAGAGACACTGGGCCCTGCCAGATAATTCAGGATAATCTCCCCATCTCAAGACTCTAATTTAATCACATCCACAGAGTTTCTTAGGCAGGGTAATGTATTTACAGATTCTGGTGTTAGGACTTGGACATCCTAGGGGACCGTTATCTGTCTGATTCACTCAGTGATTTGTTAAGTCACCTGTATCATATGTCCTTTTCACAGACACAGGATTCTGTCTTGGATTTTGGATTCCATTGCTCTGTTTCTCTATCTGTGCATCACACTATTATTATTAATATAGCTTTGTGATGAATCTTGGTGTGGGATAGGAATAACCCCGGACTTGTTATTTTGCTTCTGAATGATCTTGGCTGTTTTTGGCCCATGTCCTTTTTCAGACAAATTTTAGGACCAATTCATACATTGATCTAAACCCTATTATGATTGTAATTAGAATTACATTGGATCTGTAGATGAAATTGGTAATACTAGAAATCTATATGGCACTGAGATTTTCTATTTATGAAAATAACCTGTCTCTCAATGTATTTATATGTATGTAATGACCTTAGTAATGTATTTTATACATTCTCTGAAAAGGTTTTAAATAGCCATAGCTAAATTCATTGCTAAGAAACCTATTTTTTAATCTTGTTATAGATGGTGTCTCCTTTTTAAAAAATATTTTCTAATTATATGCTGCCAGTATACAAAGGTACAATTGATTTTTATATTGATTTGTACAAAGCACTTTGCTAAACTCTTACTAATTCTAATAATTTTATGAAAATACTTTAAGCTTTCTAAGTATATAATTATATAAACTACAAATATTTTTTCTTACTTTCTGACATTTATAACATTTATTTTGTCTTATTCAGTGGTTTGAATCTTCTGTGCTGAATAAAGCATCAAGGATGTGCATCTTTACCTTGTTTATGATATTGTTTTACCAGTAAATCTACTATTCTTATGGGTTTGAATAGAAGCTTTCTATCAACTGAGGATATTTTCTTTATTTTTTAGATGATGTAACTTTTTATAATGATTAGTTTTGAATTCATCAAATTATTTTTCTGCCCACATAAAATGTTAGCTTTTTGTTTCCATTAATTTGTCAATGGGTAAATGATGATCAGGAATTGCAAGTGTTAAACTACTTTGGATATCTATGATAAACACGAATCAATCATGAGATACTTTTTGTAGATACAATAGGGTTTACTTCTACTATTTTGTTGGATGGTTTTTTTCATGAGTGCCTTTACTCTATATATTTTCTTTTGTGGTCTGGTTTTAATATAAAGGTTAGACTGGCCTACTGAGTCGGGGGATATTTCTCCATTTCTATCTCTAGATAGACTGGAATGATATATTTTCTAAAATCCTTGGGAGATCCTTTGTATAACTCTAGAAACTGGCATTTCTTTGTAGTATACTTCATTATGATTTTTCTCTGTTGATTTTAATTTTTAAATAAATAGTATATTGAAGGTGTATGACAGGTTATGGGATACATGATAGTAAAATGTTTACAATAGGAGAGCAAACTAACATACCCATCATCTCACAAAGTTACCTATTTTTAAAATTTTCTTTTGTTTTTCTGTCAAGAGCAGCTAAAAATCTACTCATTTAGTGTGAATACCAAATGCAGTTCAAATTTATTACTTGTAGTCTTCATGGTTATCACTATATATCTATTCTTGTTCATTCAACGTATCTGCTACATTGTATCCTCTGACATATCTCATCATTTTCACCCCATCCCCACCCCTGCTCCTGGTCACCACTGTTACCGGTCTCTGCATCTGTATATTTGAATGTTTTAAAGATTCTACATATAAGTGAGATCATCAGTAGTTTTCTGTCTGTATCTGACTTACTTCACTGAACGTAATGGTCTCCGAGTACATTCACATTGTGGCAAAAATGACAAAGTCTAATTTTTCAGGTTGAATAATATTCCAATATACACATATATGCACACACACATACAACACAATTTTTATCTAATTATCTAATTGTAGATATTCAAAATCCATTACCAATGCCAATGTGAAGAGATTTTTCACCTCTGTTCTCTCAAAAGTAAATACAAACATATATGGTCAACTGACTTTTGACAAGGACATCAATAGAACACAAAGGGAAAAGGATAATATTTTCAATAAATAGTGCCAAGAAAACTGGATATTCACCTGCAAAAAACTGAAATTGAATCCTTACTGTACAATATACACAAAAACCAACTCAAATGGATAAAAGACCTAAATGGAAGACCAGGCATTATGATATTATTTTAAAATATTTTTGAGTTTTCAGGCTTTTAATTTGTTTTTCCCCATTCTATGCACATACAATGAAATGCACAGTTCTTAAGAGTGCAGCTTGGTGAGGTTTGATGAAAGTATGCCTATACCTTCAGCAACATATGGAACAATTCTGTTACCTCAGATGTTTCCTGCATGCCATTTTCCAACCTGTCCAACTCCAGGCTTCTATTATCAACACACAACCACTTTTATAGATTCTAACACCACGTATTATTTTTTCCAATAGAATTTTGTGATAATGGAATCTAACATTATGTGCTCTGTTATATCTGGATTTTTCTCAAATGTCTGTGAGATGCATCCGTGATGTTGTGTCAGGGAGACTAATATATATTTATATGTAAACTTGTTTGTATAGTCACTTAAGATGATCACTGGTTTCTTTCTACTTTAATGGTGATTATGAACAAAATGTCATGAACAGTCTTGTTCAAGTTGTCCTATAAACATGTTTTATTTCTCTTGGATAAATACTTAGCAGTAGAATTGCTGATTCCCAGTGGAGCTCTGTGTTTAACTTTGTAAATAACTGCCAATCTCCTTTCCAAAGTGGCTATGTCATTTTAAGTGCTAACAGTGATTGCTCCAGTAATTCCACATCTTCATCAACATTTGCCAATAGTTTTCTTTTAGTTTTAGACATTCTGTTGTGTGTGTGTGTGTGCGTGTGTGTGTGAGAGCTAGAGAGATTATTGATTTCATGAAGTTCTTTATACATTCTAGAGGCTAGTCATTTTGCAGATGTATGTATATGAAGTATTTTCTACCACTCTGCAGCTTATCTATTCAATTTCTTTAGGGGTTTTTGAATCAGTAGAGGTTTTTAAATGTTGTTTGCTTCCTAATTTAGTAATCTTTTCCTAGCCTAAGTTTGCAAAGGTATTGTTATATACTTTCTTCCTAGAATCTCTACAATTTTAAGTTTTACATTTAGATCTGCAGTAGATCTCAAAATAAGGTTTGTCTAAGTGTGATGAAAGTTTTATTGTGTTTGTGGGTTTTTGTCTCGATTTGTTTTTTGTTTTTTTTTGGTTTTTTTGCATATACATATCCAATTGTTTCCGCACCATTTGTTAAAACTTTACTTTCCAAATTTTGTTGCTTTAGCACTTTTGTTGAAAATAAATTGAGCATGTATGTGAGTCATTTTGGATGTGATACTATCCCATTTATCTATTCACCTACATATACAACAGCCCATGCTCTTGTACAATATTGAAGAAATGTGGTGACAGCAATCATCCTTGTTTTTATCCAGTACTTAGGGAGAAAATTTTAGTTTTTTGCTTTTAAATACAGTGTATTTCCTACTGTGGGATCGTTCCAAAAACAAAAAACAAAAAAAACCCTCTGATTTAGAAGCAATCATTGTTATATTCATTCTTTGTGTTCCCAATGTAGCTTTGGGTAGATTTTAAGCTCTTTGTATTTTTTTAATGTATCAATGAATTATGACACTAATGATTATCTTGATCATTTGGTTTGATGATGTTCGTTGTGCTAGCTGATATATACTGATAACCACTCTTAGTTCATCTGTTTTTATTCATGTTTCAAGATAAATAAACAAGATATGTAGACTACCAGAATTTTCCATTCAGGCAAATACTTTGGCATACGTGTTCCATCTGAACATATTTTAAAATGTACAACAGTTTTAAATGTAGAGACTGTAAGGTTGAAAAATAATTGAGAACCCTTTTTCCAAATCATGAAATTTGCAATAGAATGTTATGGGCACAGGAGATATTTAACACGAGTATTAATTTTACAGATTTAAAATATTAACTTTTGCAATTTTGAAGGTCTATAGACTTACGTTGAAATTATTTCTTATTTCAGTAATCTAGTGGGTGACAAAAGGCCTTTAGAAATTGTGAAAAAAGTGTGATTTCCCTAATTACTTTCCCTAATAAGTAACTTATTTGATTATATAGGTAAATGATATGTCCAACTTAGTATTACTTTGGCATTCCTGGCATTCCTTTAGGAAGTGGTATAATTTTGAAAATAAGTCTTAGATCAGAGATCTGAAATGATTTCCTGTGTATTTGTGTGAGTGTGTGTGTGTGTGTGTGTGTGTGTGTGCGCGCGCGCATGTGTACGCGCACTTGCGCGTGCATGCCCACACACGCATGCATGTAGGATAGCTCTCTTCTCAGTGGTAAAGTTTGAAAAACCCATAACCCATCAATTATTCTTGGTGCAAATCATCTCTTCACTCTACCTTAAAACAGACATTCTATTGATTTTGTTTCCTAGTTCAATTTTGTGGGGAAATTGCTTGGACCAAGAGGAAACTCCTTGAAGAGGCTACAGGAAGAAACAGGTGCTAAAATGTCTATCCTGGGCAAAGGATCAATGAGAGATAAAGCAAAGGTACTGAACTTTGAATTTGACATGTAACACATGCAGGAGGTTGCCTGTAACTCTGATGGCCAAATTTGCAAGCACACCTGAACTGTTCTTTTACCATTTTCTCATTTTCACCTTCTGGGACCACCCTGTGGCACTTTATGCTATCTCTTCTGTCTTCCTAAAAATCAATTATTGTTCCCTTCTTCTCTTTGTTTCAGAACATATATTCTTTATTTTCATTCTCCTTTGTCCTTTGTGTAAGTTGCTATCAAATCTCTTAACTTTTTCTGTATCTTCTGTGTTCATTTTCTTTAATTCCCTGGCTAGTTCCCTTTTCTTTCTTCAGTCATATCACCTAATCACATCCATTGTATCATTCTCTCATTTTGTTGCTCTTCCCTATTTCACTTTGATCTTCTTACCTGAGGCAATTTCAAAATACTTATCTGGAAATCTAGGAGAATCTTGTTTATTTCTTGAAATGTTTCAATGATATTAAACAACCCACCTGACCCCCAAAGGAATAATGTGGTAAGAAATAGCTCAAGTTTGATGTTTGAAATGATTTATTTCACATCTGAACTACATCATTTCCCATTTTATAAAGTGACAGCTATTTCCTCTGTGTTAGAATTCAATATTTGGGAGAAATAACTATTTGTAGAGATTTATTCATAAACGATTTTTGAAAATTCACTGGTAAAAGGTGGATATGTGTCATTCGACTAGGTCATACTTTTATGATTTGATAATGTTATTTTGAGAAATGAAATGTTCAAACTTTTATTTCTGACTATGGGAATCTTTAGAAAGTTACTAGAGATTCTGTATTCAAGTTATTAATGAGACATCTTAAATAAAGGAGTTTATGGTAAGAAATATCACTGGATAGGTGACTATATCACGCAGAAAATATCCTATCTTCATTGCAACAAATCTATATTTAAAGTCTGAGCAAGACACTATTTGGGTGCTCTCTTAGAATGGTTCAAAGTCAACTCTAGAAAATTGCCAAAAGTATAATTTTTACCAGACTTTTCTTTAGGGTAATTTTTGGTTACTCCATACTATGTACAATGTCAGAAGCGATTACATTCTTGTCGATACTCCTGTCTCTAGTTTCTCTGATACACATAGAATAAATAATACAAGTATTTAAGAAGGTGGTAGCACCAGCATCTAGTTGTGAGACATGCTTTTGTTCCCTGCCACAGACCAATTTAGATTTCCTTTATATACCAAAAGAAACTGACACATAATAATCTATGTCTGTACCTACATGTATTCCTTAAAATTACTTTTTGTATATGCTCCAGATATACTCTTACATTATAAACTTCATATTGTGTGCTTTTGCACTCTTACACACTCTCAATATTTAGGTCAGGCATCATCTCCTGGCAAATCTTCCCTGAACTCTTCTAATAGGCTAAGTCATCTATTATCACTTAATATATTTTACTGAATTATCTATTTATCTCCAGGATAAAGAATTGTCCTAGTTAGATTTGCACACATGGAACTTCTATGTAATATCTCTATGTTTTTAAAAACAGATGGGTGTATATTTTTATTCCCATAAATTTGAACATTTTGTTTCCTGTTCATAAAATTTTAAATTAGATTTCTTTTTCCCTGGGAGCCTGACAGGTATCAGCATAAGTATTTGAAAATTCAATAGGAAACAAATTTGCTTCTATCATGTTTTTCACTGGGTTTAATTTACTCATAAAATCTGTTACTTAAAATCTAGTGTCATTACTTTTTGGGCAGTCTATCATGTTTGGCTATGCTTTTGAGTGTTTTCATTTAAAAAATAAAATAAGATAAAACATTTAATAGTGGTAATGATACTAACAATACATTGCACTGTAAAATATGTTTTGAAGAAATATAGATACAGCCTTAACTGTCAAGGTTACTGGCCACCCAGCTGAAATAAAACCACAGACATGGGTATGAAAAATTTACCTTAGTAAACACTTGATTAAAATAACAATAAGTCCTTGGTAAATTATTGATTGTGATGCTGCTATTTTGCCTCTCTAAAACATGACCTGAACAGGAAGAAAGATTTTACATGGTTTTATTTTTCACGCATCAACTGAAGAAGTATTTGTTGAACATATGATGGGCTGTTCACAGTTCTAGTCTACAGTAATGAATATGACAAGATTCCTCAGAGTTTGCATTCCAGTGAGAGAGACAAGCAATAAATACATGAATAAATGTTTTGCTTTCAGGCATTGATCATTGTTATGGATTAAAATAAAATAGGGGCAGGGAAAAGAGGTTAATGGTGGGGGGAGCAAATTTTGATACAGTTATCAGGTAGAGCACTGGATAATGAGAAGAAACCGAGCATAGAAAGATAGAAAGGAGAATGTCACATGAGAAAACCCTGAGGGAGGATTTGTACCTGTAACCATATCTGTACCTGTTATTCTTCTGACAACTGTCACCATATCTTCAATTAATAACTATATTATTCCCCTTTGACTACCATCTGATTTCTTAGTTCATCTTTATAGCAAAACTCACTGAAAAGTTACTTGCAATCACTGTCTCATCTTCATCCTTTATTGTTCTCTTCCTCTGTCTCCATGACTGGATCCTTTTCCTCTTCCAGACCTGGGCTTAGTCTTCAGAGTTATTTTTTTCCTTCATGATTTCATACCACCTATGTGCTTTGAACCTAAAATTTATGTCCAGCCCCCAGTGACTCTCTTAACTTCTAGATTCTAAATTTATGGATGTACCTACTCAATATGAAATATGGATGTCTAATCAGCATTGAAATGCTGAAATGTGATATGTCCAAACACACACATACACATACATACAGAAATATATACAGTATATATTGTATGTTGACAAAAACTTTCTTCTTGACCAAACTTTAGTCAGGCTTCTCTGAGCCCTCTTCTCAACTGGACCTGACGGTGCAAGGATTAGCTATGTTTAAGGTTTGTATCAGCAGGCATTAAGGAGTTCAACATGCAACTGCAAATCTGTTTTTCACATTTTATTCAATGTAAAAAAATAAATGACTGAAGTACACGAGCCACTTCTTTTGCACTTACAAAGCCCGGCTGAGCAGACCCCTCTGTGGTCTCAGAGTCAGGCAACCTAGCAGAAAATGCTGTTCAATAAATGGGTTTGCTTCACCTTCATAGAACATGATGATGCAGATTGCCTTTCTATGTGGGATATGCCACTAAGAGTGCTACAGAGTGTCTGTCTTAAATTTGTTCTTCACCTCATGATGAAAGGAGATATTTGGATAGTTGTCTAAGTCTGGAAAAAATGACTAGCCAAAGATACTTTTTCCACATTTTCTATGTGCTCGAGAGTAGATTCAATACTAGGCAGAATGGAAGATAATAGATATGACTCATGCCCTCATAAAGCTTGAAATGTAATTAAATATCCTGACCTGTGTAACATTTTCTTTTAAAAAGTTCAAGTATTGATCATTTGAATTAGTAGGTGGATAGAATGACAAACTTACTTGGTTTTGTTTTTGTGTCTCTAATAAAAATTCACAATCCTTAGGAAAACACTAAGTTTTAAGATTTGTTCACAAATCATTATAAAACCAATTGCAAAAGAGAGAAAATAGTACTAGTAGTAAGTAAAAATATTCAGCAAATTTAATGTTTTTATTTGTGTTATTTTATTTTCTGGGAAACATTTCCTTTTTGTTTAATGACACCTAACTCTGTAACAACGACTGGAAACAAAACCAGAATGGCATGTAGAAATATCCACTGTGACACCAGTAGCAAAATTCTACCATATAGTCATGATTTCTCTCCCATATTCGTCAAATCCTAGAATATTAGATTATTATATACTCACATCCAGTCAGACCAACCAGGAATGCCTGAACAGAAGTTAAATTTTAAATTGTGAGGATAAAAATTATACTTAGAGAAATCTAGGAAGGAAGATGTACAGTAGGTATGCAATGTTTCAGAATACATTAGGAAGCTAACTGGCAATTCAAAAACTTCTTTAAAGTCTAAGTCCTTCATTACATTTACCAGATGGTCAGCCAGTTCTAAATAACCAACAGCTGCTTTACCAGCAGCGGCTTCTGCGCAATCTTCAGTGTAACTTGCTGTAGCCTCACATACAGAGCTGCTATTTTTAGTGGTGCTGATGGCAGAGATTAGTGAGAGGGAACCAAGGAAGCTGTGGTTCTACAGGCTTACTTTTGAAAAAGGTGAAGAACAAATATATTATCCCCAGTAAAAAAGGTTAGCCAGCTTAGAAAAATCAGACAATGACTGAACACACCCAGACAAGAGTGAGTAAACGGGAAAAGCATGAAAGCAAATGTCTTGCAGGCCTACCTATTGTCCTTAAACAGAGTCACAAACGACCGTGATACAAGTCAATTATGTCGCCATGAAAGGCATCTTGGCATGTCTATTATAAAGCTTGGTTGAAATTATGGAATGAAGTATTAAAACATGCTACTGATTACAGGTTAAATGTAGAGTGCTGTTTGCTGGAGTTTTATTTGAAAATGTGTGATCCTTCTCAAGGCAGACTTTTCTGTCTTTGATGTACTAATAACATGCACAGTTTCTATTTTATACTATGTCTTCCGTATTTGGTGATGACTACTTTAGTAAATCCTTTCTGATTTCATGGCAAATTGATTTTCATCAACAATGAAATCAACTGAAAACCTTCAAAGAGATGCGGCTGCCTAGTGGGCAATGTGGGGGTGGACCCAGTGCCAGTTTCTCTCATTTGGCTCCTGGGCTCTGCCTGACATCAAACAACACGGCCGTCTCTCAGGTCCTGAAGGGACAAAGCCATGCTCGTCGCTTGTCAGTCAGGCAGTGATTGGTTCATAGACTCCTTTCTCAACTTCTTAGTATCCTGAACTCCAAAGCAATTTGTAATCCTACAAAACCTAAGAGCCCAGACGCTCTGAGTTTAATTTTAGCTGTGCCCCTAATAAACTGTACAATAGATCAACGTTATTTCTTTCTCAGTGTACCTTC